TCTTATAACTTTGTGAGTTATAGGTGAAACTGAATCTTTATCAGATGAATCAATCATTCTAGCATATGAATTGTTAAGTTAGTTGAAGAGTGATGCAGTTGAATGGCCCCATGAAAATGGACATGTTATCATCAAGAAGAAGCAGAACCAAGTATTTTAAGGGCACATAGTCCCTTGCTTGAGCAGTTCATTGTCCCACAAGCCATTATACATTCTTTCAAGCAAACAGACCAATCAACAATTATTGATTCCCATGTTCACAGCTTTCCTTTCTTCTTTTTTCTATTTGTTTTACATGCATTCGTGTTTTACTAAGTTTACTTCACACACAAGAATTAATAATCAAATCCCAACTACTTATTTAAGGAATTCAATCTTATAATTGCCCCATTGAAGTTTGAGCTGATTATATAAGTCGTATGAATAATATTTTCCAATATATTATATGAAGAAGAATAAAATTATATATATATATATATATATATTTCACGGTATAACCAAATAAACGAATGTACGAAAATGCTTTTTTGTCTATGAGAGGGTTTTAATGTAGACATTTCTATATGTGTGAGAATTCTTTCAAATACTTTCTCTAAAAAGAATTCTAATAAGTTCATCTTTTCAAAGTACTTAAAAAAAATGTTCTTGTACATTTTGCCTCTACTTTCTTGAGTATTTTTATATAGAAAAAAATTAATCATTTAATTCTTAAAATTTTGATTCAGTTATAACTTAATATCTAGAATTTAACTTGTTATAACTTAATCTTTATAGTTTTGACTCGGTCGTAATTTAATTATTAAATTTTAACTCTCGCAGCTTAGTCCCTATAATTTTAAGTATTTAAAAGACTGGTCCCTATATTTTACAAATAAAATTATAAATATTAAAACTATATTAAAATTTAGGGCTAATATTTTAAATTAATCAACCCTTTTAATCTTTATAAAGATTAAAATTTCAAAAATTTTTAATATTTATAATTTTATTTTTTTAAATATAGAAACTAATGTTTAATTGGTTAAAACTATAAGAACTAAGTTGTAAAATCAAAGTTTAAGGACTGAGTTATAATCAAGCCAAAACTATAAGGATTGAATTATAACGAGTCAGAATTTAAAAATTAAGTTATATTTATGTCAAAACTATAGAGACTAAATGATTAATTTTTTTTTCTATATAAGCATTCTGATAAGGTTGTTTTTCACAAATCACTTTTTTTTTTGTTAGCGTTAATCAAATGATGATCACAATGATTAAAATTATTAAGAATGACAAATATATTAGAATTATGATACACAAAACAATGATAATAAAACGTGGGTGAATGATAATGAATCCCAAATTAATTAGCAACAAATTCAAAGGGGTGAAAGTGAATGAGTGAAAACCCTCAATACATCATACTCAACAATCAATCTCATCCATTCATTTTGCATTATCAAAATGGTGGGACGAATTGGATATAGACATCATAGATTAATAATGCAAAAATTTTTTAAAAAAATTATGGGCATTATCTTTGTGTGGTAGTTTCAATTGGAATGTGGAAAATGTGAGAAATTTTTTGTGAAGAAAATTGTTTGATTTCATTTGAAGAGAAGAAGGAATAGGAAAGTTGAATTGTGTAAGGATTCATGAAATGTTAGGCCAGGACGATGAAAAGAAGGAAAGTTCACTTTATTGTTTGTAAGTCTTCTGCCATATAATTGCATGCCTTCCACGTCAACGACATGCTCACAGTAACTCTAGCTACTCTTTTACCAAGAAAAGAAAAAAAAACCTCTCTAGCTACTCTAACCTTTTTAACAACTAGCAAGACTCTTGCATTTGTAGGGAGTATACAATAATTCGAATCAACAAGCAGTTAGTATGACTGATAATATAATTATATCAACTTAATTAAAGATTTTGAGTTTAAATTTTAAAAATATAACGACATTGGATTGTAGAGGTTTTGCCTAAAAGCATATTAACTCGGCCTGATCTAAATTAGTCAAAGCTATTGATTTCAAACACTAAAAGATGTATTATCAAAAATAAAATAAATTGCATTGTTGATAAATATAAATAAGCAAATTACTCATTGAATTTTAGATTTAGTAGTACTATAAACTCTAAAATCATTTATTATGCAAATTATTCTTTTAATTTTTAAAAATGGTGCAATCAAGCCATCGCTATAAATAAAAGTTAATTTTTATTATTAATTAATTAAAAAAATTGATAAAAAAGGATAAAAAAATTTATTCATTTTTATAACTTTTTTGGTCATTATCTTTAATTTTTTAGTCATTTATTGCAATATTTTTCATTTGTGTATATAATAATTTGTTATAAATTTTATATTTTATATTAATGATAACTCTAGAGGCACATGCTGCCATTATAATTTAAGTTCCCAGATCTAGTACTCTTTTATATATATATATATATATATATATATATTTTCAACACCAGAATTTTTTAAAAAACTTGATTTTGTATTAATTTCTTAGTTGTCATTTTCTTTTATTGTATTTGAATGCATTTTGCCCTTTATTATTTTTTTCATTGTACCTAGCTCAACTAGTGATCCTATTTTTAGGGGCATCTCATATCTAGATGGTTGAATTCATGTCTTATTAGAACATTGATATATTTCTTATTTTAAATAAATTTATTTTTATCAATCCATTAATATGTTATCTTGTGAAAATTAGTCAAATTAACTTTTATTGATTTCATCCAAAAAAAAACTTTTATTGATATTTTGCCAGAGAGCTCTGTCTTAAGGGCGAAGGAACTTGTTAGTGTACTTATACTACATTCTCATATTTAATTTGGAAAATCAATTTTTGTTCTTCTTATTGGATGCCCTACATGAAATTTATTGTTTGAGATCTCTTTTGATTTGGATAATATTAATTGCATTTGTCAACAAAACTATGATCAACCACACAAACAATTTAATAAAAAAGAATCAAAATTGAATAGCATAATTCTTTTAAGCAAGTTGAGAAATGAGGTCATCATCCATATGGCTCACCGAAAAAATTAACATTTTTTCTTTTAAAAATTGAGAATTATGGCATAAACTATACCCATATGGCAGTTGACATTTTTTGTTTCTTTATCAAATAGTAATTAATATATGATTCAGATTCTGAGATATTTCAGGTATGATTAATTTTATTACCATTATAGAGGAGTGGTGCTCAATTTAAATTTTGTTTATTTTATTTCATATTCAAACACACACACACACTAGCTCTGAGGCTTTTTTTTTTTTAATGCATAGTAATAATATCCTTTCAATACATTCAAATATTTTTTGCCCTCAATACTACATTGTAAAGTTCTCAATTTTATACTTTTATTAGTTGGATTAACACTTTTAAGTAGTTCATTTTTTTTCAAAATACCCTTAATTAAGAGGTATAATTATTAAACATTTCTAATTGAGAGTTGAGACACCTTACTAAATAAAGATAGACATGAAAAGAGTATATAATTTTAAAGATAATTAACTAATTCCTTGGAGATGTAATTCACTTTAAAATGCTTTATAATATTAAACTAAAAGAATAATGTTATGCTTGGCTCGCAAAAGAAAATAAGAATGAAAGAAAATGAGGGGAAGGAAAATGAGAAGAGACAATAGAAGGGATGTAATTTTCTCTCATTATGCTTGGCTGAATGAGAGAAAACTGAAAGAAGAGAAAAATTATTAATTTTATATGAACAATAATAACCTTACTATTTATAAAAATATTTATATAATAAAATTTAATATTTTACCATATTATATATAATAAAAAGTATTATATATTATTGACTGAACAAAAATATTATTAAAAATTATTCTATTCAATATTGATGAAAAATTATTTTATCCCATTTAAAATTTATTTATTAAATTATTAATATATAATAATCTTAAAATTTGAAACTACAACCAAGTATAAAATACTTAACTGAAAATTAACTTAAAAATTTAAAATTAGTATTTACTTAATTAGTTTAAAAATTAAATATGTTGTTTGTTTAATAAAAATTCATAATCAACATATAACTACACTACAAATATTATGATAAAAATAAAAGAAAGCAAGAGGCAACAATAAAAAAATTGATAGATAAATTTAAAAATAATTTTTTTTTTAAAATCTTTCCTGAAGAGAAAAGTTAAAAGTAAAAATATATGAATAGGAAATGTTATTTCTCTCTCACTTTTCTTCTCTCTTCACTTTTCTTTCTGTAGCTGAATAAGAAAAAATATTATTTTTCTTCCACTTTTTCTTCTCAGTTTTCCCTCCCCTTGCTTTTCCCTCCTGCCAAGCATAGTATAACAGTCATGTGAGGCAATTCTAGAAGGGGGGAAAATCATCTGCCTAGCAAGGATCAGATTCATCTCTTACTAGAAGATAGATTTGACTATTTTTGATAAATTTATGGAGCAAAACTTTTTTTTTAATCAATTTACACACATGCAATATTAAAAAAGATTGTGATCATCATTTTCTAAAATTATGGAATAGCTGTAATTGATTATCCTAAGACCTAATAAATCACTTTCTTATGGTGGATTTCATCAAATGCCACTACTTGCAGAACACGTTAATTTATCGGACCCCAAGAAAATGAAAGTTAACTTGGAAAATTTCTGAAAGGAAAAATGGATGCAAGAGTCAAGTCCCACTGCTCTGACATGCCCCTAAAGAAATCCAGAATGTTTGTATAATTAGTAATTACCTGATACGATTTCCCTGAAGACATGCACTAAATTTAAATCCAAAACATAAGATACTATCTCAAAAGCATTAAAATCTTTGACGTCCTATGCAGATTTATTTTTTGAAAAGTTGTTAAAACTTCAGAGAAGTTAACCCAAAAACAACGGGATAAAAAAAACCTTCAGAGCAGAATGGTTCAGTTCAGTTTCTGGGATGAGGGAAGAGAGAGAGAGAGAGAGAGATGAGAAAATCAAAAGAAGCAGGGGGAAAATAAAACCCTTCATCTGTACAAAAAAAGTCTACCCATCAATTCTTATTCCATATTCATTTCTCAACGCAGGAAACAGAGTCCTCTGTTCTCTCCGTTTTGACTACCTTCTTCTTCTTCTACCTCTTCTCTCTCTCTGCTTTGTTTCCATTAGGTCCTAAACAAACACCGATACATACATGAACAACATGATACTAACCAACAAGTTAAGATACATAGTGCTTAAATATGTGATTCGATTCTGAAAGTATCGGTGGTTGTTGATGCTTTTATGTTTAGTACAATGTCAGGGTGGATGAATCACCAACGTGGGAAGCATTTGTTGACCTGGAATACTTGTTGGATGAAGAAGGCGAGGTGGAAGAGAAGTCGGCGGATCTTCGTCGGAGCATCTGCTTCATGCCATCGGCGACACGAACGGCAGGGTTGGATTTGAACTTGCGACAGAAAGACATGTGAGCTTTGACAGCTTCGTCCATGGCAGAGAGGGGCTTTTTGGCTCTGTTAACTTCATCTCTGACAGCTTCGGAGCAGAGGCCACAGAGCCATTTGCCATCAAATTTGGACTTAACTTGGGAGATGTAATCTTGGGTACAGTCCTCTTTCAAGCCACAACACTCACACTTGGCTGATTCAATCTCCATGGTCTTGTTCACAGAAAGGCTAAGAAGAAAAAGAAGGAGAAGATGGTGAGAAAATTTCTCTTTGTGATCAAAACACGGAGTCTCTTTGTGTTTGATTTTGGAGGGCAATGATGGATGGGATGTGGTCTGATTTATTAACCATTTATGTTTCTCTGTTTCTTTTATTAATATTATTTTTTACTTTATTTTTTATTTTTCAATTTTAAAGTATATCTATTTATTTATATATAATATCATTGTTCATAAATCATGAATAATGCAACTCACTTAAGATTCTATACAAAACATTTGTCTATAATTTAGCTTCTTTCAATGTAAACCTACTCTATCTTAAATTTTACATCTATCTTTTGATTTTGATTTTACTTGGATAAATTTTTTCATGTAACACATATTTTTAGATTAGTTAATATTATAATTAACAATAAATATTGATTCTTTTTTATTTCAAGTGTTACCTTTAGTTTTCAATTAGGAAAGTCCTTCTTTTTCTTGTTTTTTGCCAACAACTAGGTAAGTCCCTATATATTGCTCAGGATATAAGTAACAAGTAGAATTCTCCATATGTTGTGAATACTATGCACTCTTAAAAGATTTTTATTTTATTTTTAATATTTTTCTCAATCACTATACATTATATGCTAGGTTACACAATATAATTGTTATGAATGAATAGATTTTATTCTACGTATTATTAATATTGATAATTTTTTAACAATTGAATTTTAATTTTACAATGTTTAAGAGAAAATAGTATTAATGGCATTTAAAATTTAAGATATTAAATTAAAAAATAAGAGGGTCAAATCAAAATGAAAATGCAAAGTTAAAACATCAAAGAGTACATATAATCCAAGTAAAAAAAAAATCACTATTTATAAATAAAAAATAATGCAACTTATTTTATATTTTATGTTAAGTATAGGCTTACAATTTTTTTTTTGTGTCATCATAAACCTAAAATCTAGCTAAATAAAATTAAGAAGGAGATGTGAAATTTAAAATAAAATAAAATAAATCAAATTCAACTAAAATAAAAAGAATCAAATTAAGTCTCTGTTACATATTTTCCTTAAGTACTTTTAATTACATAGAGAGACTATAACTATACACTAATATAATAAACTTGATCAAACAAGCGTAATTTTGAAAACTGATTGAAAATATGAACTTATTTAATAAAAATAATTGATTTTAACTATATGAAATTTATTAAATATCTCTTATAAAACTAACGAGAGTCAAAATGTGAGAGAGTGTGCGCGTGAGAGTGAGAGAGAAAAAGTGCCATAATTTCCTCCATGTTCTAAGGGACATGAAGCAGTGGAAAATAAGACAATGGTGGTCGAGGGCCATCGTCTGTGGGGCCCCCATCTAAAAATCTTTTAGTTGATTATCTATTTCTAATGTTTTATATTTATATATATATAAAATTATTTTTATGTTCCGTACAATTTCTGAAAATTTATAATAAATAAAGAGTTGGATCTTTCACGTTGAGATACATCAAAAGCTGAAAATCACTAGTATTCTTGAGACGTGTGTGTGTTTTTAACTAATTGATATAAACTTTTTCTACAAGCATTTGTCACTACTTATTAAAAGGAGCATTTATTAAGAATTAGATTAGATGTGATGTAACAATAAAGGCTGTATCTTGTAAGATACTGAGCTCTTTTTTTTTGTTTGTTATAGGATGTGTTTATCGTGATAAGTATGTAAATTTAAATTGCAAATTCAAATGATAAACTTATAAAGCTTTATTTATATTAATAAATAATCAATAAAAATTTATTATTAAATAATTAAAATATAAATTATTAAAATTAAATATATTTATATTGATAAATTATCATACAAAATATAAAATTTTAAAATAAAAAAATTTATTTTTGATATTTTTTTAATTAAAATTATTTTTTTCTTTTTAATTTTTTTAACCATGTTCTATAATTTTTATGAACCAATTTCTTCATAGTATATATTGAACTCACTTAATTCAAAAAAAATTAATGAACTTAACAAGCTTGCACCTAATTCAAATTTATAAATTAGTAGATGATTTTGTAAGTTAAAAATATAAAAATGATAAATTTAGAGGTAAACTCATGAGTTTAATTAAATTTATATTTATTTTAAATTTATGAGTGAGTTGATATAATTTTATATATTAAAAATATAAAAATATTATATTTATAAAATTAATTCAAGAGTTTGACAAATGCGTTCTCAAATTTCCATATTAATTAAGAACGAGGCTGAAAATCTGAACATATAATGATGACAGAATAGTTTCAATCTTCTACAAGAACAGAGTTGTCAATTGCATTATCTTCGAATAATTGTGATTTGTAAACTCTCATTTTCTCGCAAGAAAAATGGAAAAACAACGATAAAATCATTCAAATTATATAAATAATAATTTAATTTTTAAAAATGTCATAATTTTACAAAAAAATTTTAAGAACTTCTGTATCACTAAATTTAAAATAAAAAATTATTTTACTCTTATTGAAAATAACAAACCCTAATTAAACTTTTTACTTAAAGAATAATAATTTTTATTCTTTGAATCGTAAGAGTTGAGCAAGAAATTATAATTTATTAAGTATAATTTGTTATTGAAAAATAAAACCCGATCACAACTTTTGTTAAATGAATAACAATTTTTATTTTATGAATTGTAAGAATTAAACAAGAAATAATAATTTGTTAAATACTCCCTCTATTCAAAATTGTACGGCATTTTTAATCGAATCTTACTCCCTAATAAAGTAGTTAGTTATTTTTTAATTAACCCTATCTTTTCATATTTATCCCTATTAAACACCCTACAATAAATATAAAATTATTATCTAGTACTTTTGAAAAAAAAGACAATAATTACATCTTAAAAGACTAAAAATATCTTACATTTTTAAATAAAGGGAGTATTAATTTATGTTATTGAAAAATAAATTTCAATCATAACTTTTACTTAAAAAGTAACAAAATTTGTTTACACATATATCCATTATCATTTTGTCGAATTAATAAGAAAACCAATTCACACATGACTCTTGATGGCATTGTTGTTTGTGTTTTTTTTTTTGGTGGCAAGAACTTATTCTTGTTTGAGTTACCCCCTTCTTGGTGGCTCAATTAATGGGTTCTAATTATGATGGATATGATTAATCTACTCTTGGCCTGACTAAGACTTCATACTTTTTTCTTTTTTTTATTTACCATCTCCCCTATTAAACGAGAGAAATTTAAAACAAATAAAATAAAATAAAAAGATGGAAAGGAAGGAAACTCAAAGCACATGGCAAGGTAGACTTGGTTGGTTTGATTGATTATCTTAATACCATGAATGTTGAGTGTTGACTAAGCACTTTCGTCATTATGTCCCTATAGTTAGTTCATGTGCATTAGCTTTGCTTAATATAATCAAGTATCAACATCATAACTAAAACAAATATAAATTCTAATAAAAGAACAAGATTTAGATTTTTTTTTTGTATTTTTGATTAAAATGTTTGTTAAAAATATAATCTGTTGATTCTTTTTGGCTTAATATGCAATTTAAACCTTGAACTATAAATAAAAGAGCAATTTAAATTCTAAACTTTAAAAAAGTGCATTCTAAACTTTAAATAATTAAAATTGGGGCAATGTCATCCCTATCATTAACTTTCAACAAATAACCGTTAAATTCATTTGAAAAAAATTACATTTGAAGCCTCAATTTGACGAATGTTTATTTGAAACTAATGTTATGGGCAAAATTGATCAAACTTTAATTGTTTAGAATTCAAAATGCACCTTTTTAAAAGTTTAGGGTTCAAATTACCCATAAACATAAAGTGTAGGGTTCAAATTGTATATTAACTTATGATAATATTACCAATTTTTCAGGATATGAGAAGATGGAACAAAAAAAATGAAACTATATAAAAGAAGGTTGTAAATTATAATAATAAGTAAATCAGTTTTTGGTGGAGATTATGGTGGATATGAACGAGGCAGTGTCAAGTTGGCTATTTTTATTCTTGTTGGGTGAAATTTTGATAAGCTATCAATGGCAGCAATAGAAGCGTAACATAATCTTTCATTATAAGTACACTTTCATATTTTTTTAATGTTTATTCTTTGACATAATGGAATCTTATAATAATATCAATGAAAAAACATTATCATTTTTTGTTAGGAAAAAATCTAGAATAGATTCATCTTCATGCACTTTTTTCTCTATCTCTTTCTTTATCATAAAAGCATTTGGTTAATGTTTATAAATTTTTACCTTCATCAATTAATTCAAAATAAAAAACTTACACATTCCTTCAAAATCATTTTAAAAATTGATATAATATGCAAAATACACTTTTTTCCATTACTGTTAAATTATTATGGATTAGAGTGTATTTTTTAAAATACAAAAGAGTTAATATGTAATTTGGACCCTCAATTATAAGTTCAGGGATGATTTGAACCCTAAAATTTAAAGATGTGCATTTTGAATTCTAAAAAATTAAAATTGAGGTAATTTTACCCCTAATGTTAACTTTCAACAAACTTCTATCAAATTGAAGTGTAAAGTATAATTTTTTTTAAATGAATTTAACAGATGTTTGATAAAAATTAACAGTAGGAGAAAAATATTTCAATTTTAATTGTTTAAAGTTTAAAATATAGCTTTTAAAATTTAAAATTTAAATCACAATTAGAGTTATAGTTCAAGGTTTAAATTATATATTAATTTTTTTTATTTACAGCATCATCCTTTGATCTTTATTTTAATTGAACTTTTCATCTTTAAAATTTCTTGTTTGCTCTCCCCTCATCTTAAGAAGCTTAAGCGTATTATTACCACCCACCCAAATTAATACGAATCTTTACTATATGGAATCGTTACTTTCGAAATGCCTTTGGCATTTTATTTATAATTTTATTAAGGAAGGTAATAGTTAAATATCAAATTTATTTTTTTTAATGATTTTGATGCAAAGTTGTTAATTTAAACTAATATTGATTAGACTACATAAACCTATAAAGTTTGTCTCTCTCTCTCTCTCTACATATATATATTAATTAAAGTTTGTGTTTATACATGTTCATAGTTCATTGATTAATAAAAGTCCATT